ATTTATCATTTTTCCTTAAAAAATTGATAGTCGTATAAGTTGGTTTGCTGACTGTGATATAATAATCTTTTGAGATTTTGGAGTCAAATTCTATCATATACTAGTCAATAGGTTAATGTTCGTTTCATGCTACACTAAATTTTTTAACAAAAAAATACGATTTTGGAATATATGCACAGTTGATTGACCGCTGTGTAACTCTTAATAGTATAGAGACTCAATAAAACAATGTCCTATAGTTGAGAGTATTTTTTAACTTTTAATATTTAGGGGACTTAACAAAGTATCTCTCTATAATCGAGAGTCTATTTGTGTATTAATCTTTTTCATAGAAATAAAAACATTTAATTTTAGGGTAAAGTATAGTAATGGTCATTGAACTTTTGTAAAACTTTCATTTAGGTCCCCCAACTTTTAAAACTTGCAATACAATCTCTCAACATTTAGTCCGTTTGCAATATGGTCCCCATGGACTAAATGTTGAGGGATCATATTGCAAACGGACTAAATGTTGGGGGATTATATTGCAAGTTTTAAAAGTTGGGACCTAAATGAAAGCTTTAGAAAATTTCAGTGACCATTATACTTTACCTTTAAAAATATAAAAATATCAACCCTGAAACTGGGAAGACAACAACAAAATAATATAAAAACGACAAATTTATTAGTACCAAAGAAATGTTTTTTAGGCATTGGTTGTTTGCGTTTTTGTTGATAATTTCTTCCTCGAACCTGTTTTGATTATAATGTATTTCGTCTTTATTTAATGAAAGCCTTTGTTTGATAAAAAGAGATATAAGGTGGAAATGCAGGGCTGAGGAGAATCACTGGCAGATTGAGAAGAAAGGGATGGAAAATGAATCCTTCTGCAAAGTATCTTCTTTCGTTTTAAAAGAAGAAAGAAAGACAGCAGTAGTCAAGTCAAGCATCGATACAAGAAATTAACACTTAAATTATATAAGAATCATATAAAAAAAAAGGAGAATGATTAGACTACTAAAAAATTATCGACAAATGTAAAATAGAGTCAAACATATCGAGAAAACTATCTATTATATCCAAATATAATTTGAAGGTTCACAGCAGGAAGATCAGCGGATAACAGTCACTGGTTTGATATATTATGTTACGATATGTAACTTATTTTCCGGATGATATTCATAATACATATTTAAGTTTCTTCCGAATATAACTTAGCAGGGTCCTTTGTATTTGAATGAACAGAATTGCTTTGTTTGATTTGCTACACGTTTTATCTCCGCAAATGATTGACCCATTGCACGGCATGTTCATAATGAAGTAGTGGAATGAGGATGGTACTTTTGGCACTGATTAATTTTCCAGGAAAATACGGAGGAAACTTCCTTTCCTAGTTGTCCCCATCCAAGCAACTGCATTCTTCAATGGGCTTGGAGGCTTTTGAGTTTTGGGATTCAGGGAAATGCTATTACTACAAATGCTAAGAAACAAAAGGTCGCCACCCAGCTGCGTAAGCTACTAGCTTCCTGCATTCCTATCCTGCTTTAAGCTACACACAGTACCAAAACAAAAAGAAAGGAGACGTTGTAAAAGGAAGAAACAAGGCCGACCCACACTGACAGAAATGAGGAAGTTTCCACTTGTACGGGTTATATGGCACTAAAACTAAATTCAAATAAAATAGAAGAATCTTGGTCTACAAAATATAGGAATTAGTTGAGATGACATTGAGAGGCAAGATCAACAACTTAAGCAAATCCTATATAAATGTAACCCCAGCATCCAACTAGAAAAACAAAATGAAAAATAAGGATATCTGGAAATTTCTTATTTTGATACGTGAGGATTGCATTAGTTTCATATCTATATAGGTAACAAAAAAAAATGGCAAGGTTTCTTCTCGCGTCGCTGATGAGGGCAGCCGTAGTAGCTGCAGCGGTGGCAGCGGGACACCAATCATTGTTAGGAAGCATAAAGATAGCAGTTTTGCCAGTAGCAAAGGTATTCACCTTGTGTTTCTTGGGCTTCCTAATGGCTTTCAAGTATGTTAATATCTTTCCCGAAAATGGAAGAAAGCTTTTGAATGGGGTAATCTCTTTCTTATCCATTCCTTCTGTCAACAGATTGATTTGATTTGGCAAATATATACTAGTTACTCACTTGACATTCCATCTCCTACGTTGCATGCAGTTAGTGTTTTCCCTTCTGCTCCCCTGTTTCATCTTTTCTCAACTCGGGCAAGCTATTACTCTACAGAAAATGCTTCAATGGTATTCAACCATTCATCACTTCTCTTCTTTATTGGATCTCTCTTGTGTATCATCAAAAACCAATACTAATCATGGTGTTGCAATGCACTTGCAGGTGGTTCATTCCAGTGAATGTTGTTCTGGGCGCAATCTCTGGCTCTATAATAGGTTATGTTGTTGTAACCTTAGTCAAACCTCCATACCCCTACTTCAAGTTCTCAGTCATACAAATTGCGATTGGTAAGCCTCTGCATCATGTACAATATATTATGCGTTATGCCGTTATCTTAACACACTAAAGATGATATCGGTCACACAACACAATATTTGTATGAATCTAAGTCCGATGATTGCAGGAAACATAGGGAACGTACCACTTGTTCTGATTGCAGCTTTATGTAGAGATACCTCTAATCCATTTGGCGACACTGAAACATGTAGCACTCAGGGAACTGCATACATTTCATTTGGACAGTGGGTATGTACGTCAGAATATATTGTGCTCTAACTTAATTTGTTGTGGTAATCTTTACCTTTTTATGCTGATGAAAGATGTTACTACCTACCCTTAGCAAATATACTAACCAGTTTAGCTTATAAATAATGTTAGGTTGGTGCAATCATTCTGTACACATATGCATTTCATATGTTGGCCCCTCCCCCGGAACGTACCTTTGACCTTGAGGATGGGAATCTCCCCCTTAAGATCCATCAGAAGGATGCCTCTCCTAAGAATGTTCCATTGCTGGGGCAAGAGGATTCACCGACGGATTCAGACAACTCAAAGAAAGGAAAGGTGAGGATCACGTTTGTTTGAGTTTGTTTGATTTCATGCTTTGCTTCCAATAAGCCTTCCCTGACTATGTATCTGTTATTTTGGTGCAGATTAAAAGTTTTCTAGTATTTGTTTATGACAAGTTAAAGCTTAAGCAAATCTTTCAACCCCCTATTGTTGCATCTGTAAGTTTCAGACGTTTTGTTGGGTTATATTTCATGAATTAGTAACTGGTTTGGCTTGTAGTGGCAACTTCAAGTTTCTTTTCCAATCTCTGTCAAGTCTTAAATTTTATATTTGGTAATATAATATGGGTTATAACTACTGCACATTCACACTAATATGATCTGAATACCCTTAGGCATTGAGTTATGAGAGAAATGGATAATCCATGCATCCATGAACTGATTTTGCAGTCCTTTATTTGAGGGATGATTCAAAAGCCAAAAGAGCATTCAATCTTGATACAAAATTCCTTCATACGCATGGATGCATCTTTTAGGGGACATATGGTGTTTGAAGTTGCAGTGTTTCTTCCACATCCATTTTGGTGAATAAAGTAACATATTTCTCTCCTGCTTTTTTTGTGTGCAATTATTTGCATTCTGCAGATACTAGCCATGGTTATAGGCACAGTACCGGTTCTAAAGAAATTAATATTTACAAGAGATGCTCCACTTTATTTTTTCACCGACAGCTGCATTATTCTTGGGTTAGTCTCATGACAATAAGTTGCTTTTTTTATTATTTGGTTGGAATTAATAGGAGTGTGTTGGTTATCTTCTATAAATGCTGGTGGCTTTGTATTTGGTTCTATGATGAGTTGATGTGTTTGATGTAAACAGGAAGGCCATGATCCCATGCATCTTGTTGGCATTGGGAGGCAACCTTGTTGATGGTAAGTTAAACATCTTGGGCACCATGTGGGTTTTACCTACAATACCATAACATGTAGGATGATTTGCAGGACCAGGGCCAGGAAGTTCAAAAATTGGTGTCCGAACACTCGTGGCTATCATAATTGGGCGCTTAATCTTGGTGCCCCCTGCAGGATTGGGCATTGTAACACTGGCTGATAAGCTCGGTTTCCTTCCTGAGGGTGATAAAATGTTCCGATTTGTCCTACTACTTCAGCATTCTATGCCAACATCTGTCCTTTCTGGTAAAACAGTCTAAATGTGTGCAGTGCATATAAAAAATGAATATCCGAGTTACAAAACTATATTAGGATTCAGGAAGCATGATATAATATATCTGATCCCCATGGATTGCTTCTGTTTAGGATAGATGGATCTGGATGATTTCATTTCTAGCGCAGTATCTGATATTAAATTGTTTTGGAATTGTGTTGCAGGTGCTGTTGCTAATTTAAGAGGTTACGGAAAGGAGGCAGCGGCTGCGCTATTCTGGGTTCATATATTTGCAGTTTTCACTATGGCAGGATGGATTATTTTGTATCTCAACATACTCTTCTAAAACCAGCAGTCGTGAGATTAGATGGAATCGTTTGACAGTCCAAGGCAGCTTATGTCTTTTTGTGAGCCCTGCAACCATGAATACTGCTGGTGAAATTCTGTTTAGTTCGTTATGAAAGCTACAAAATTTAAAACTATTTAGTAATCAATTTCAATCCGAGGTCAGGGAAAGAAATCTTGTTTATTCAATTTCAAATTCCTATTAAATTTTCAGCGCAGAAATTAAGATAGAATAATATAAAATCTTGAAAATGAGGCTTTGCTGCTTATCCTGTAACTTCTGGGAAGAAAGGTATTTGAGTTTCTGCTTATACTTTCTTTGACCAAGATTAGAAAAGATGGAAGGGTAAATCACTTCCCTTACAAGTTCAGGAATTGGTTGGTTTTGTTTTTATCATGTAACCAAACCCTTAAGAGCAAGCATCTCCTGCACCATCGAATTTAATCACCACGCCCCCAAATAACAATCAATATAATATTAACGATGAAAAACAACTCAGACATTTCAGCATTCGTAATCCATTCATTTAAGCCCAACTCAGTTTCCAGTTACTGATAATCAATCAAAGCAAGCAAACTGGGAAAAAAAAATCTTGCATAAGCACAAGCACACTTGAGGTAGGAAACTATAATCATATCCAATTCTACTATCAAGGCCAGAAATTGAGATTAAAAGCATACACAACAAACCAAAATATTGATAAAACTATCATAATAATGCGGAACTGCAATGGCAGGGGTGGCACTCACAATAATTCGCGGGGTGAAGTTAGAATATGAAGACTTAATTTGAATAGTGGGGGAAGGGTAATTACCCACCGGATTACTGAAGCTTCTCAAAAGAGAGACCACCATCTCCTGCCTCTGCTGCCCCTTTGGTTTAGTGATGATGTATTCGAAACCTGAATTTGATGCTGGCCCCATGAAGGTAGATTGCAATCACCTATTGATCCTCTTCTTCCAATTAGTGGCTTGCCCAAACATAAGACGAGAACAACACCAACAATACCAGCAATGGGCACAGCTGCGCGAAATAGCCAGTCTCTACCACTCTCCCTGGCAGAGCAACTAATGGTAGGACCCACATGTGGCACATCATGTAATTCACATGGACCAAGTTCGCAAGCTTCATCTGCTTCAGCTTCATCAGAATCCTCAGATGAATTATCTTCACTAGCATTTTGCCGCTGGATTTCTTGCATCTCCATCCTATTATTCATGTGTTGCTTCCCCTCTTCATAATCTTTGTCATCAGTAGGAAGCTCATAGCGGCAAAGGGGGCATGAATTCCGTGCACTCAACCATGGCAAGATACAAGAAGGGTGATAGACGTGAAGGCAAGGAAGCTGGTTTACTTCAATGCCAACAGGCAAAACATCCTTGCAGATTGCACAGGCCAAACCATCAGAGTTCTCATGTTCATCACTGACAGCGACACGAGGCAGATTATTCACAAAAGATGAAGATGCAGGAGTTGCTCCTCTTCTAGAGCCATCAGTCTCAGTCAGATGGTCAAGAAGTTGGTAAAAGCCAGCTCTGGAGCGACGCAAATTAAAAATAGGGAGAGTGGTTTCATTTGTATTTGAAGAAAACAAATTTATAAGTCCAGTTCTAGCATGTCCAACCACATATTCTTCAGCATCTTCTTCTTCCCACTCACCATCTTCATCTTCTTCAGGTTCATCCCAGATCCATTGGTTCAGACCAGCATGCATTGGATCAATATCAGTGTCGCTATCACTGTTAGTATCACTCCTCTCAGCTTGAACGAATATTTCTGTATCCAGGAAACTGTGTTCATCCATAGAAGCATCCGAATCCCCTCCATAAGTACTGAAAGATATTGCATCACTCTCACCCCGAAAAACCCTGTACCGACCGAAACTAACATTTGATTCATTCTCACCATAAAAGGAATCCAGATGATCAAAACCATCACTTTCAGAATCAGATATAACACGCCCCCATCTTCTAGAACCACTAGGAGTTGTACGTGAACTACTACGTCGTAAAGACCTTGCACCGGAACCACCATCCATAATTGGATCCTCGGAGCCAGAGACAGTGGATTGGTTCTGCCTCAACGAATTAATCATTTGTAAGAACTGTTGGGAGAAAAGATTTTCAATTGATTCAGAACTGCTTTGCCGATTCCTTCTTCTTCTTCTTCTTCTATTAGAGTCTTGAGGAGGTGTACCGAGATCCTCAAGCAACAAAAATTTGCAGTCTCCACAGAGACCAACGGTTTCGAGATCGAATGTTGCCTCATATTCAGGTGCAAGACTTCTCCGGCATAGAGTACACAAAGATGGCAGGCCGGAGTGATCTCCAACCAATCCACCACCCTCCATGTGGCCAGGAGCAGGACGCAAAGGGACATCTTGAAAATTTCTTTCCGAGTCTTCTTCCATTCCTTCAAAGAAGAAAAATGGATCAAGCAAAAGGAAACTGAGAAGAATAAAAAAGGGTTACCAAAAGGATAGGCAAATGTCATTGGAACCACCAGCAAAACAATATAATAAATCCCTCTCCATGCAATTAGTGACAGATAAATCAAGAAATAGGGCTCAAAAAGGAAGGAAAATTAAAAGGAACAGAAAAACCCTGATAACAAAATATAAAATCGGGAAAAAAAATATCTAAAGCAGGAAGCTTAGTGGGAGTAACTGGAAAGGATTAAAGGGGGTAAATTGTAGGCAAGCGACAGAAGAGGAGCACGAAAACGCATTCAAAGCATCGTTCTTTGACACAGGAGGGTGCATTGCGACGAATACTTCTTTTTTGGGTATTTACAGTGAAATTCTAATAATTACAAGCAAAATACAATAAAAAAAGTTGCTAACAAAATTAAGTGATTAATTAATATTCAGAAAGCTTAATAAATCTATAAAATTGAACAACTAAAAATGCAGAAATCATGGTTGCATACATGAAACAGATAGAAAATTACCAGATGAGTGGGCTGAAAGCCGCGATCTCCAGAAAGGGGAAAATAGCAAACAAAACAACAAAGAAAGCGAGAGAAAGGGAATTAGGGAAAGGCGAAAGCAGAAGCTATTGGGACTCGGTGATTATTAGACACTGCACAAAGCACCAATGTGGGAAGAAGAAGAAGAAGACCGCATCCAATTCTCAACATTAGAAAAGGCCCACTAGAAACAATGAAGGATGGCTGGAATCTACACATTGATTTTTTTTTTTTTTTTGACAATTTTTGTTGAACCGTATACATCAAAAGGTGCCTGTACGGCTCTTAAGGGATACAATTTTATCTTAATCAACCTATTTTATCGAGAAAGATTATTTTTTTAGGTCAAGGGGTTGATTTTGATATCTCAAATTAACTTATTGGTCTTATAATATACTTCAGTATAGACAATGATATAAAAGATTTTTTTATAAATTCTCCTAACGGATGGATGATAACAAAATCAATATATGTTATAAATAATTTAGATCATTTGACATTAAACACTCAATCACCCTATTACAATTGTTGGTGTTCGAACTCGTGAATTCTAGAAACAACAACAATTCCTTTAACTACTAAGATAAATTGATTCTTGCAAATTGTTTAAATTTTATATTAATTAAAATTGTCCTTTACTAAAAAATAGTACTATTTTCCAAACATATATTTATTAACATTAAATTTAATCAAATATTTAAAATTGGAAAATATTATAATAAAAGATTAATCAATATTTTTTAGACAATACAAACATATTCCAATAAATATATAATACTATTTTTAATTGTTATTTTAAATTTTAACAGGAACAATAGTTATATCCGAAATCAATCTACTCAACTTTATAAACAAATTAATTTTAATTCGTATTAAATATATGTTTACATATAAAGTAAATAATTATGTATTCGAATTCATGGCTTGTAAAAATTTCAATCATATAAAAGATGACAATAAGACTATGAATATTTGTGGGATTGAGATAATAGCTTAATGTTACAAACATAACGAGGGAAGAAGGAAGATGAGTTTGAGATTATGATATCTTTGTTTACATCAACAAAAGTTGATGCAGATAGAATTGGGACAAAAGTAGAGCAGACATAGGTGTGTAAGCTGTAATGTAAATGTGTGTCGTGTCCCATGGTTTCTTTTGAATATTTTGAACAGGAACCTAAGAAGAAACTCAAGTATCAGGCCTTGGGGAGGACTGGTTTTTCCTAGTCTGGAAGATTCGCCATATCTCTCTCATAAACAGTCAGCTGTATGTATGTACCTCTTACCATATATACATATTACAAAGGTGGTTGATCATCACAAATCCCCTCTTGGAATGACCAGCTCAAGGTGGGTTTCTGTTTCTCATGGCATGGCAGAGATGCAAGCCTCGCCTAATTTGATTTGATTTATGGCAGTAGAAAAGGAAGAATTTCCAAGTGGATGCAGCAGGGGCAGAGGAGGAGGAGCCCGCGTTTATCTGTTGCATTGGATGCTTGTAACTCACAGCAATCGGATCCTATTGCCACACAGGCTAAGATCAGTGCCAGCAAAACAAGAAAACCAAGACCCCTTCAACATATGGCTGCACCCTCTTCGTACCAGGTGCTGTCACCCGTGTCCTTTTAATACCCATGCTATCAAATTTCAGGATTCATTCTTCAAATCAAACAAGAAAATTTATGTTTTACTTCTAACTTATAACTAGTCTTGTGAGGGCAAAAGTATCCCGACACCAAATTATAAAGGCTTCCCTCAACTTTAGTCACACATAGCATAGCACTTGTTTTTATTTTGTACTCGAAATCCTGAGGCAGTCTAGCTAAAATGTGTGAGTTGATTTATGGTGCTTGTAAATTTATCCAAAACCCTGCTCATTAGAGATCAATTCAGACGATAGCATTGCGTAATGATCAAACCATCATTGTCATGAAGATTTTGGCTTAATTATGGCATTTTAGCTCATCATGTATCTATCCAAGTCTAAGGTCTTTATGCATTGTATCAAAACCCAGGCAAACGGCGTGCAGAGCAGCAACCAACAAGGCCATGAAGATCATCCAATTAGTAGTGGTGAGCCTTGTGGTTTTCTAGCGCTGTCTCAAGTAACACGATTAATTGTTTTTTGTCAGACCATCCCACTTCCCGGGTTGGAAATAGCCTTAAATTTCATGATGATAAAGCAGCCTACCCTGGTATTGAGATTTTCAAGCCTTCCATCATTTTCAAATTTTAATTACTCCAATACAAGATCATGCCATCTACAGAATGGATGCCAGAGAAACGTATACTAGGGCATATTCTTGATATTTTACTGAGGTATGAGTTGTATATAGTTGAAGAGTCACTACTCACTACCAAAAAAGTAGTAGATATGCGCTGAAAGAGATTGCTAAATTTGGAATAATCTTTGTATGAATAATATATCCCTTGATTTTTGGACCTCATCTTTCTTATGTTAGGAGAGACACCTATGAAATATTTGCTGAACCTGTTGACCCTGAAGAGGTATGCAATTATTAGTCTCTCTCTTTTCATATACTGTGCTAATGAGTGTTGCAAGGTAACGCGTAAAATTATTTTTTAATTAAAATTAATATTTTTATTAAAAATGAAAAATATATTTTTGAGTGTCCAATTATATCTTAATCAAAGATTGGTGGCGACTCGTCGAACCGTTTTTTTATCCAAATCAATCGAGATGAGATTTTTAAAATTAATTTTTTTAAGAAAAATCGTTTCGACACCTTGCTTTATTTTCACTTTTAAATTTGATTAAGTTTCATTTAATGGGTCAAGCTAAGCCTGCATGGCCACAATATTACATTATAAATGACATTTTTCTATCTTCTGCTTTTTCTCTAAAGATTTCTATGTGCCTATTAATGGCAAATTTAGTTTTCTGTATTTCCCCTCTCGTCTAATGGCTGCCACTGCGAGGACTCGGTAAATGATTCCAAAGCTTTCTGGGGCGTTCTTGCTCATTTAGCCAAAGAAATTCTTGACGATGACGATGATGTACCTCACGACTCTGAAACGCTTGGTACAGTGGGATCATCGCATATGTCAGATGCTTCAACAGCTTCCCAGGTGAGTGTCTTTATTGCTTCATACCCATTGCTATCGCTGACGCATTGCCATTTTTTCAAATGCTCCTTTTGTGATTGAATTGATTGATTATGTTCCTTCTCAATAGCAGAAGCAACAACCAGCTGAAGGTTATAGAAGAATGGACTATCCTACAATAAAAAGGGGCTTGGATAGGCTCACTACTTCCCTTAATCATATCGGTGACTCTTTTGAAAAGGCTTTAGAGGTAAGACTAAAACCTTTTCGGACATGGATTCTGCTATACTTCTCAAACTCATCGCCTTCTTTTCTTTCCTAATTACTCTGTAATCTGTATGTAGCTCTTCATGTGCTTTTTCAATGTCAATCGGTAAACTAATAATTGTATACTGTATCCATCTGTCTGTTTATATTTGTTTAAGCTATGAAGATTTCTGCACCAGACATTTTACACTTGAAATATTGAAAAGAAACATCCATTAGTTCATTGGAAATGTAACTGTATTCTTCAACAAAATTTCTTGTCTTTGCAGCAAGGTAGAACAATTGTGGGGAGTAAAACGCAATATATCATCCATGAAACGCGCAAGCTTCAAATGAGACAGAAAGGGAACAGTTCCATGGCACAGAAAGGAGCTTTCTATTCAAGATGAGCTAAAGAATTTGGAAGAAGAATAAAGTATGTTCTTAAGGCAAAAGGCAAAATTAAAGTGGATTAAAGAAGGCGGCAAAAATACAAAAAATTTTCATTCCTTGGTAGCCTTCAAAAACAAGAGAGATACAATTAGAGTTCTTGTGGATGAAAGTGGAAATAGACTTGAAACCTTTGACACAATGGCTAAAGAAGTGATCAATTTCTATTCTAATCTTATTGGAACTGTTGATTCCTCGGTTAAAGAAATTGATCCAAACCTTCTCAAAACTCTTCTGAATTTCAATCTGCCCTCTGAAGCTTCTTCAAGTCTCGTCAAAGAAGTTACTGAAGTAGAAATCCAAAATGCCATCTTCAACCAAGGAAACGATAAAGCCCCGGGTCCAGACGGATTCACCCCTCTTCTTCAAAGCAGCATGGACTATAGTAGGTAAGGATTTCTCTGTAGCTGTCAAGCACTTCTTCTCCAATGATTTTTTGCTTCCAGCATTCAATTCTACTGTTATTGTCCTTGCTCCTAAAGTACCAAATCCATGTTCTGTTAAAGACTTTCGACCCATATCCTGCTGTTCTGTTTTTTACAAAGCCATTTCAAAAATTTTGGTTACAAGACTGACTGTTGTTCTTCCTGAGATCATTTCTTTAAACCAGACAGCTTTTATCCGAGGTAGAGACATTGTTGATAATACGCTCCTTGCTCAGGAAATGGTAAAAGGTTATGGTAGAAAGACCATCTCCCCTAGGTGCACTATGAAAATTGACCTTCATAAAACGTTTGATTCCATCCATTGGGGTTTTATTTCTGCCATTCTCAAAGCCCTTAATCTCCCTCAAAAATTTTTAGAATGGATTGAGATATGCTACACCCAAACTAGGTTCTCCATATCGTTCAATGGTACTTTAATAGGTTACTTTAAAGGGGCTCGAGGCTTGAGGCAAGGGGATCCTCTTTCTCCATACCTGTTTGTTCTTGCTATTAATGTCCTATCCAAACTGCTCAATCTGGCTGCTTCCAAGGGATTGTTTGGTTATCACCCTAAATACAAGAAAATTGGGCTTACGCACCTATCCTTTGCAGATGATTTACTGATTTTCTGCAAGGGTAACATTGAATCTGCTAGTGATGTTCTTAGTGTATTGCAGCAGTTCCACGACATTTCTGGTCTTAAAATAAACTCGTCCAAATGTGAGTTATTTGTTGCAGGCCTAACACCAAGATCCATGGAGGAAATCAAAAATTTAACAAATTTCAAAGTAGGCTGCCTCCCAGTTAGATATCTTGGTATTCCTCTGGTCACGCGTAAACTTAATGAAAATGATTGTGAAGCTCTTCTTGGAAAAATTAAGCAAAGACTCCTTCATTGGTCATCTCGGAATCTTAGTTATGCTGACAGACTTGAATTGATTCGGTCTGTCCTCTTCAGCGTGAGCAATTATTGGTGCAGACAGCTGATTTTGCCTGCCTCTGTTTTAAAAAAGGTGGAACAATTATGCTCCCGATTTTTTTGGAAAGGTGCAGACCAATCTGTTGCTGGAGCTCGAGTGAGTTGGGAAAGAATTTGCCTCTCAGAATCTGAAGGTGGTCTAGGGCTGAAAAATATCAAAAGTTGGAATAGAGCTTGTATCATCCATCTCATACGGAAAATTCTGGCTGGTAATGGATCCCTTTGGGTTGCTTGGCTCAAGAACTATGTCATCAAGGATAACGATTTTTGGCAGTTTGAACCTGCTTCAAATGTTAGCTGGAGCACCAAACGTATCTTAAAAATGAGGGATGCTGCAGTTCCATTTATTCATAACACTTTTCTGCTTAAAGATATTTGGAATGAAATCAGTCCTAAAGGACAGAAAGTAACATGGCATAAGCTCATCTGGTTTCCCATGCACATTCCGAAACATTCATTAATTGTGTGGATGGCTTTACAAGACAGGTTACCAACTAGAGACCGCCTGCAACGAATGGGAATTAACACTAATTCAGCTTGTGTAATCTGTAACAATTTTCAAGAGACAAGAAACCACCTATTTTCTGAGTGTGCTCTAGCAGCTTGCTTATGGAATTTTGTCTTGAATCTGAATGGAATGAATCCTACGAACTTGACTTGGGAGGAACATGTTACTACAACAATCAATTCATGGAAAGGAAAGTCTCTCCTCACATTCATTTTAAAAATTGCTTGGTCTGCTTTTATCTATACTGTTTGGCAGGAAAGGAATCAGCGTATCTTCCAGAAACGATCAAGATATGCTGAAATTTTGCTTAATGAAATCATTGATGTTTTCGGTTTATTCTTAGGGGGAAAAACTTCAATAGAGTTGATAGTACTAATATAATCCTATGTAATGCTTGGGGCTTATAGTTCTACCAATCACTGTTTTTTGTATAGTTATGCATAGTGTTCTTTGTTGATTGGTTGATTGGATTGTAGCAAAACTTTGCTATTTTGGATAATAAAATTCTTACTTATCCAAAAAAAAAATCAGCCACCAACACAGCTTCAGAGTCAAACCAACCGTGACACCCAACTCAGGCATCACGAAACGTAAGGTAGCAAAATTGTGTCAGTGAATCATAGGTAAAGTAACCCAAGTTTCTTTTCCATGATAATTTTGTTATTTCTAATCATAAGTCGCACTATAGGTTAGGTAAGTGTAAAGGGGTGTGGCATTGGGTGCGGTTGAATTCAACTATTGCTAATAGAAGTAGATTATGAGCCAAGTTCACGTCCTGTCCTGTCCAGTCCAGTTAAATGCATGATCTGGCATTGTTTTGCTTCGAATGCAGGTCACAATGGCCACAGTTAAATGCATATGCAGATTTGGCATTTGCGAAGGAAGGATGTGCTCAACTGGAGGAGGAGAATAAACTCCTTGGGGGGAGTCGGGAGAAAAGGGATAATCCTGCTAATGGCGATTTGGTACATATTGTATACCTTTCTCTAATCCCGCAGATGATGTTCTGTTGGATGTGGGTATTGGTACAAGCAATTGAATTGCGTTAATTAATTAATTGTGATTGTGTTTGTAATAATGAATGCTGGAAATCAGATTATACTGCAACTGGAGACATTGTTGGCGCATGAGAATTCAATATATGCGAGAGAGAACCGGTTTCTAGGAGAAATAATCGAGTATCACCAACTGAGCATGCAGGATGTTGTGTACTTAGATGAGGGCGGCTGAACAAGCTATACCAGTTGTTTATCCCCTCAACTCCCCTGAGGTGGAAGCTACCCCTTCTTCTAGTACAAGCCCCGTCCCTGGCCAGCGGTCAACACCGACAAAGGAAATCTCACCCAACCAGCGAGGAAGGAAGCAAAGGATGCACTTGCAATGCAACAACGGCTCCACTACTCTCAGATTTAGTATTACCCTTTTTATTTAGAGAAAATTGTCTCAGTGACCAAAATTCCCATATAATATACGATTTTAACCAACTTTTTTCGGATTTGCCAAAATGACCAACAAAATCGCAATGCGATCGCTAATTCGCAACGCGATCTCCATTATCGCAAATTCGCGTTGCATTTCGCGTTGCGATGGTCTACAGTGTCGTTGCGATTTTCCTAATTCGCAATGCGAATAAGTAAATCGCAACGCGAATTGGGAAAATCGCAATGCGATACTGACTATCGCAATGCGATACTACAAAATCGCAACGAGATACTGACTTTCGCAACGCGATTCTGACTTTCGCAACGCGATAATACATAATCGCAATGCGATTTTCAAAGCGCCATTAGTATCCTGGCCAAGTATTTTATTTTTAAATTCCAAACACGAATATTAATATATTGGAATACTGAACCGTCCACAGTATATCTCGTAATCGCAACTCATAACCTAAAACCTAAAATCACAACTCAGTCCCATCTCCATCTCTCACTCTCTCACCCATCTCCGACGAAATCCGTCCCCATCTCCGGCGAAATCCGTCTATCTACATCTCTCAGAGCCACCCTCACAATCAGAAATGGAAAATCAACCAAATCAACCAACGAGGGTTAGTTTTTTTAATTATTTTCTTTTTGAATTTTTTGCATTATTATTAGGTTTTTCATATTGAAATTGATGATAAGTTTACTGGTAATTTCAATAATAGATTAACCATTTCACTTAGATTGCTTATTAAATCAATCGAGAATCGCAACGCGATTTTAGTTTCGCGTTGCGATTCTCTCGTTGCGATAGTCAAATTCGCGTTGCGATAGTCATTTTCGTGTTGCGATTTTCATTTTCAGAAACTATTCTTCTTCTGCAAATTGAAACTTGAATGAATTGCATTACTTCAACCAAAAAACAAAGACAAATACGAAATTCACAGTGTTGCAAATTTAAGTTTGAAGAATAAACTACTACTCTTTATGTTTATTATTGTTTTTGGTATATCTAACTTAGTATGTTTATTGTTTTTGTAGAACTTTTATTCGGCTCAATTGACCTTAAGAAATAAAGTCAGCCTGGCCAAAACAATTGCGTCGAAGCTTTCACCTGCACAAAGAAAAATGTTTGAGGATACATGCTTCGGGCCATGACTGAAAGTACAACATCCCGGTGGAGATGCGATGTTGACACACCTGTTTCTTCAAACCATGACTAGCGATCTACCAGAGACTATACAACGTCGTGATGAAGAGATATGGTTTGATTTTCCACCGGCGTATACGTGTTTTGAGCGGGAGGAGTTTTGCTTAATCACAGGTCTACGCTTCGGACACGATGATGTAGGTCGGTACACTAGACACATTACCCGCCCATCATGGCTATCCCGGGTTTTTCTTGAGCTGGAGAGGCCGAATCTACACGTAGAAGACCTGACAAGATTGTTGAATAAGAAAGATGGTTTTACTCGGATGGATGACGTCGACGTTGTCCGAGTATGCCTTCTAATTCTTTTGCATGCCAGCTTTTTAGGCAGAGAGGCCAGACAACCTATTCCAAATGATCTAATCAAATTGGTAGAAGACCTAAATGCGTGGAACCTGTTTCCGTGGGGCTCGTATTTATGGAAAGCTACATGGAATAAGTTATCGTCTGCCTTGGATGATCGAAAAAGTTTGCATGGCGATGGTTCCAAATATACTTTGGCAGGCTTTATTTGGGCCTTTAAGGTAAGAATTTTTATATAATGTTTCCAAAATTATAAGTAATTATTTAACAATTACTAATGTTTGTTATTATATTGTTTGTAGATTTGGATATTTGAGGCCTTTCCCGCCATGAAGACATATGCAATAAAAACTTCAAATGATATTCCCAGGGCTATTTCCTGGAAGAGGAAACATACCTTGCAATGGGAAGATTTACTACGGTATACGACAATAAATAATGTAAGTTAACATAAATACTACCATATGTTTATAAACAAGTTATTACTAGTACACGTTTAACTTTGTTTGAGCTTTTATATTGTTAGGAGGCCAACACTCCTCTACAGAGGCTGACACCCACGAAAGCTGAGCTTGCCACTGATTGGTGGCAAGCTAGTAAGCGTTTTTTTGATGGAACGGTTGATGAGCAGCCTCCACTTCGGGAGCTATCACCTCGCCCAGAGCTATCACCTCACCCAGAGCCATCATCTGATCGACCCGACTATACACCTCCACAACGACAGCCATCACCTATTCTGTCACATCATCAAGCCTCTTCTCCACCATTACCGCAAGATAGGCGACCGGAAAAGATGGCACGACGTTTATCTCCCTATTCTCCACCTCCACCTCAACGGGATGAGTTAGAGGAGTTACGTGATGAGGTCAATGCCTTGCGTGAGGAGGTCGATACTTTACGCAAAGACGATGGTGCATGGCGTGTTGAGGTGTCTACATTACGCGGTGAGGTAGCCGCTCTACGTGAGATGGTAGCATCGTTGCAGAATGAGGTTCATACTCTACGCAACGAGGTAAGTTTAAGATTTTTCATACTCGTAATTCATTCGGTTGCTGCCAATACTGCTAAACTATTTTTGTTAGTATTTGTTTTTGGTTTTGTTTTTGTCTTTTGGTTGAAGTAATGCAATCCATTCAAGTTTCAATTTGCAGAAGAAGAATAGTTTACTTTCGCAACACGAAAATGACTATCGCAACGCAGAAATGGCTATCGCAATGCGAAATGAAAATCGCAACGACAAAATCGCAATACGAAATGAAATCGCAATGACAAAATCGCAACGCGAAATGAAAATCGCAATGCGATTTGTGTTTCGCGTTGCGATTTTGTCGTTGCGATTTCATTTCGCATTGCGATTTTGTCGTTGCGATTTTCATTTCGCATTGCGATTTTGTCGTTGCGATTTTCATTTTGCATTGCAATAGCCATTTCCGCGTTGCGATAGTCATTTTCGCGTTGCGATTTTAAGTTTCGTATTGCGAAAGTAAACTATTCTTCTTCTGGAATGTTTATATATGTTGTCCTTTTAAATGTTTATATAAGTGCTTACTTCTGGAATGTTATCTGAGCATTTTGTGAACTATGATAGAATAATGACTTGGGTGAATACAATGCTAGTTTGAAACATATTTGTCTTTGTTTAATATCATGTCTGTTTATTTACTAATTTATGTATTAATTTTTTTAGCGGCCCGATAAGGTGGATGCTTTACGTCGGGTTTTCCTTGCACGACGGAGTTTACGCATCAGACGGCGTGGACGTGCTATTACGTCTCCGTTCACCCCAATGGTGCGAAGACTCCGCAAGAAGAAGCCCGACTCACCTGTTATCCCTCAAGAGTCCCCTCCAATCGTTCAAGAGGCCTCTATCCTCCCTCAAGAGTCCCCACACCGTTCAAGAGGCCACTGTCATCGTTGAAGAGGTCCCTCCCACCATTCCAGAGTCCGATTCACATGGGGTAATATATCGAAGTATTGAGAAACCCCCATCGGTTCCGGACATGATGGATGAGAGTTGGCTCTCGTATGAGTTACCGGCTAGTACCCTTCCGGTATCTGAAGTGGAGAGGAGACAACTACCGGAAACAATTGTGGATAATACCCTTTGGGCTAAGACCGCAATTGATTTTTATCTACATGAGCGGAGCCAATGGTGTTACACTGACATAAGCAAACTCAACGATGAAATGTTTTTGTTGCTTGATCGGTCTTGGTGGGGTGTGCTATTAGGGGTTGAAGACAGTGGCTATTTCGATGGGGAGGTAAGTCTTATATTTGTCTTATATATGATTTTGATTAATTTTTTTTAAAATTAATGTAATTCACTAATATATGTATTTTTTTGTAAAACAACATATCGATGCGTGGGTGTCACGTCTACTAATAATAAGGAAGCTTAGGAAAAATAAAAAAAAATCGCGATATACAATAATACCGGCGGCTTTTCACGCAGTTCACTTGAAGAATCAACGAGATGAATCATTTTCGTTGGGCAATGGACAAGCTAAACTTTATCCTGCATGGTGGGAGGTCGATAAGGTTAGTGTTTATTTTTTAAATTTTTTAAAGGTGTTCATAAATAAGTGCGCAAATAAATGAATTATTACTTATGATTGCAGGTGTTTATCCCTATTTTGGAACGTCGTCATTGGCTTCTCGTCCAACTTCAGCTCCCATCCCTGAAGATAATAGTGTATGACAGCATGATAAATTACATATCACTGTCTGATTTGAGAGATATGATCAAGGGATGGAGCTCTCATTTGGCTAAATTCTTGGATGGGATTAATTATTGGACTCATTCTGGACACAAGAAGCCAAAGAAGTTCAATGTCACAGTTTTCAGAGACGAGACCGCGCCACAACAATCGCCGGGAGCCAGAGGGGATTGTGGTCCTCTCGTATGCTTGTGCTTGGCGCGTTTGACGACGGGAAGCACAGAGTTTCTACCTCTCACCGATAGAGATAGAGCTATAGTAGGCTTGTGGTTTCGGCATTATATGGCTAGAGCAATATATTCGAGACGCTGCCTACCTGCATCCGCCTTATGAAAGTGTCCATTGTTAATTGGTAAGTCAAATGCAAGTTTTGTTAACATATATACTCCTTTTGGTTTGAAAATGTTTGGTTAAGTACCTAGAATTCAATAATTTGCTGTTTGTAGGTTTTAGATGTGTAGGAAGTCTTGTTTGAGCAAATGTTTGGTTTCTGCAGGTTAATCCTTAAGTGAGCTGCGTGAAATGGATGTACGGGATCACAAAGTTGTTGATTCATTGATTCAATTATTTATGAAGAAATAAGAATTATTATTATTTTTTGATTGTTTAATTGATTTGTAAAAGATGATTTGTAAATGTTGATTTGTTTAATTGATGTGTACATAATTCTTATTTGTGCTTGTTTAATTG